GCGAGGAGAATAATAAATTTTTGATAATCGGAATGTAAAAAAAACTCCCGCTAACGAGCAGAGCTGACTCTCAAAAATAGATTTTACTCCTTAGGCCTCGCGGGAAGTGTACGAATAAGGGGATCGAATCGGGACGAGAAACGATCGGCTCATCGAGCACGTCTGACCATACACCAAACCTTACTACTGCGAACAGATTTACTGCGTCACAGGGCTCAATAAGAAAAGAAAAAAAAAAAAACCATTAGGATGTTGACGTAAAATTGTGCTCGGCATGTCGCGTGAGAAATTATCTCCGCGGACTTAGGGGAGCGTTTTTTTGTTATTAATTCTATATAGCTCATAACGTTCGGTGATGCAGTGTTTTCGATCTCAATTCGGCGAAATCATTGATCTCGCGAAAATTGATTGTCGTGCACGACGTTCAAGACATTGCGAACTTACGGAAACATGACTGAAGATTGATTATAATATTTAATTCGAATAAAATTTGCAATTAATTGATAATCAAACTAACGAACGCTGCTGCCCGGCACAATTAATTGCTGGTTAAACGTAAGGTTTCCGTAAGCGCCGATAGAGATCGCAACTAGTATATATTATATATATACACATATGTGCTTTATTTGTATATATATATTGTATATATATAATAATTAAGACGCCGTCGTGAGAGAGAACGCACGGCGGTGCGGACGTATAGAAACGGAGCAATCTATGATAAGAGGGAGACTGGAGGTGGACATCATGGAAGAGTTTCTCCTTTCCCAAGAATCTTACCGGTCGATTTTTTCCGTTTCTTGGAATTCGGATTCGAAAAACCCGCACCCTGGAACAAGCCCTAGGTAGGCCCGGTGCCCGCCGATGACACTCTATTGAGTTACTTCATCGACGGGCGTCGACCGCCGCAAAACCGCATATCGTGTAACATTAAACGACAAGGACGAGAGAAAAAGAGTTTCTATCCAGGACGTTTTTTTAACCTCTTAAGGAGTAGGGGTTTATGGGACCCGAGCCGAAAACAGGACTCTAGAGAAATATTTTCCCTCGTTACACCTTCGAGGATTTTAATTCACCTGTGCAATCGCGGAAACAACTTTTCCGTTACGTATAACAATGCGTAGAGAGAAAGAGAGAGAAAGAGATTGAACTTGAGATGGGGGAGAGAAA